CCTAGGCCCAGCAGGTTTGGGGATCAGGTTTCAGGGGAGTTGTGCCTCCCTGCTTGGTGGTTTTCTCCAGTCTCTGCCCCTGCTACATCATTGATGGCACATGCCTTCCAGCACTGTGAGCCAGACTTGGGCCAGGAGGCAAGCAACCTCAGGGAGCTGAGCTTGGCACCTAGACTGGTACTAGTACTCAAAAGGCCTGTGTCCTGTGATGCCCATGGGGAATGAGACAATGTTGCCATCCCCAAATGCCCACACACAGTTATGCCTCCAAAATCATGAGACTGGCTCTAAAATAACACAGATTTAAACAATCAGTGCTGGGTCTCTGTATCAGTCTTCTGATTTGGTTTGTCAGGTCATACTTACACATTTCCCTGTTGCCATGGGCTGGAACCTGATGTGTTAAAAGCAAGCGAAGATGGTCACAGGTTCACTGGACTCCAGTGAGCAGGAGCTGAAGGAAAACATCTGATACACAGCTGGAGATGAAAATGGGGAGTCTGGCAACAGTAGCAGGGAAGCTGGGCAACTTGAGAGCAAGTGGGCTCAGACATTGACAGAGTTCAGGAAGAGGGCCAGGCAGACTGGGAACCCCACACTGAACAGTTAAACCATCCAGGGAGGCAGTGCAGCCCAGCCTAACCAGGCACTGCTGGGAGATGGTCCTGAGCTGAGAGATGGTAACAAAGCTCTCAGAAGAGTTGGGGAGGGAAGAGAAGGACTTGCAGAGTGCTGCTCTGACAGCTAGAAGGTGCTGTGACCATGAACAGAGCTGGGAAGGCCAGGCCATGGGCATGAGAGTAAGCATTTGCTGCAGTGGTAGAGGCAACACACAGCTAGTGGGATTGGCTCCAGTGGAATATGGCACCAGCCTGGAGTGCCATCCACAGCTCAGTGGTCTGTGACTCTCCTTCTCCTGGCCTATGACTCCCTCAGGGAGCTAGAGCAGCAGCGGAGTCTTGCAGATAGCTAGCAGCCCTTGAGCCAGTTGAATGGAAGGTGAATTAGTTGCCAGGGTGGGACGAATGTAGCCTCTAAAGCAGCCTGCCCTTTGGTGGGCTTTGCTGCTGGCTTCTTTTTCTGCAGTGGCTCATGATGTCAGCCTAGACTAGAGGTGGCAGCACAGGCTAGAGCCACAAAGGCACTTATGTGCCTGATAGCTGCCCATTTGAGTCACCTAAACAAGCACTTAGTCCCAACCCCTCCTGCTCCTGCTTAGCTGCTGCCTCCTTTAGGAGATACCGAAGGGCTCCAGGCCCCTAGATTTTTGTAGCTGGGCCTGATGCAGCCACCAAGCTGTGCTGCACCTACATCCTGCTGCTTTTTATTTGGTGGGGTTAAACATGGGCCAAAGCACAGTAAGGTGGTGCTATGTGGAGGGAAGGATTTCCTTGCTTTTTAATCCAGATTTTTCCCCCAATATGCTAAAAAGAGTATTCTGGGGTTATTGCAAAACAGCTTTTATTTGGGGGGGGGGTTGTTTGTTTGTTTGGTTCAGCTGCTGAAGAAGGCAGGCAGGCAGGCAGGCAAGCTATATAGATAACTATGTATTTCTAAAAGACATCCTAGCAGGAAGAGCTCTTTGTCATTCAGCCTATGAGTGAACCGGTTTGCTGAGCAGAATGAAACTTGGTCATGCTGTGGATGGGCATGCACTGCACATATTGGTGCTGTTCCTCAGGAGGCTAATACTGTATTTTTTCACATACCACATGCATCTCTTTGCTGAAAATTAGCTACTGGAAATTGCGGTGTGTATATTAAGCCAGGCAATATATCCAGCAGCTATGGAGCCCCATGTGCTCACTGCACTGCTCATGTCCCAAAGTGAAATACTATGGGGGAGGAGGGGAAGGGGTACAGGGGGAAGAAGGGAAAATAACCCTGCATATGCTGGACGGGGGGCATTACAGTAAGCATATGGGAGCTCTCTAGGGGAGCTGGCTGGCTGTGGACAATGGCTTCCTAGCAGCTGCCTTTGCAGCAGCTTGAGGGTGTCTCGTCAGCACGTACTTGTTAAAGGGAGACAAGGTTCTTTGAGTAGATGTGATATCTTTTTTTAGACGAACTGAATAGTTGAAAAAATTGTTCTTTGTGAGCTTTCGGGCACAAACACCCTGGGGTTGCTGCTGCTACTATAGCTGAGGGATCAAGTGTCCACAGTCAGCCTGCAGCTAGGGGGTTAACGCAGCAGCCACAGGTTGTTGGTCTCCTACTGCTACTGCTGGTATTGTCACTACTGGCCATCATGGTGGCTGCAGCAGGGGCACTTGAGAGGGCAGATGCTGTGTTAGCTCTGGGCAGGGAAGTTATGTTTTTTTAGTCAGTGAAAAAGCTTTTTTTTCCTTAATTCTGCCTGCTGAAAACAAAGTGTGTGTCCTGTTCAGGGGGATGTGGCATGTGTAAGACACACACATCTCTGACCTGATAATCACTGGCTGCCAAGGCATAGTTTCCCACATACACGCACAGAACAAGGCAGCCTAGGGAGATGCCTGCAGATGAGCTCACCAAAACCAGCAGCTAGGGCAGACATCAGCTTTTTGCCTTGTAGGAATGTCGGGGGGTCAGCCTTCCACAGACATAGCAGGCTCTGGTTTGCACAGTTAGCAGGGATCTGAGCAGTATTAACTTCCTGCTGCCAGCCAAGAGGCTGATTTGGCCAAGGATTTGGCTCCTTCATCTCACTCACAGCAGCCAGCGAAGTGAAAGACAAAAGAATCCTGGAGCTCTGCGGGGGGGACCTCCCTACTTGGTGCCTTAGTTCTGAGGCAGAAGCATCACCCCTGCTGCAAAAGTCCCATTTCCCATCTGGTCCACATTGCCACAGTGAGGACCCCCAGCCTTCATCTAGAAGCAACCCATGTACTGAATTCTGCTCCAGGCCCTTCTGTCGACAGGACCTTTGCCCAACTGCTGGGGGAAGTAGATACCTGTGAAGGCCAAGTTCATCCTCCTGTGCCTCCCTGGGTCAACTGTAGGGTTAACAGAGGCCTAGGAACCATGGTAAACCCTCTGGGGGCTCCAGTGAGTTCTATTGCTAGCAATGGGGGAGGGGGAGGCTGAAGAGGGTGCACAATATTATGGGGGGAGGGGTCTATCACAGCTGCCAGAGAGACCAGTCCCCCTGTCCCTCAAGCAACCAGCACAGCAGCAGAGAGTGGGGGACTTTGGCCTCAAGTGCGATACTATGTACTATTCAGCACAAAACCAAGGAACAAAGGGAAAATGTTACTAGCAAGGGATGAGCAGAAGGGAGGGACCACCTGCTGATTTGTACATCCTATTGCCAAGGCTGTGCCAGACCTCCAGGGACACTGCCTATTTCAGGGAAACCTGAGGAGCATGCCTAGAAAAATTGACATAGGAAAGCAAGGCCCGCTGGGTACCACTTTGAGAAGCACTGCTGTAGAGTACAAAGTGGTGGTCTGGTTGCCAGTCCACAGCGAGTTGCCAGGAAAGAAATATATTCACTGGTCCGCAGCGAGTTGCCAGGAAAGAAAGAAATATATTTTCAGAAGCATAACATTGATATGTCCTAGTGCCACAGTTCGTACGTTCCAACACTCCAGGTGACGTCACGTCGTGCGAGGTGAGGAAAGAGAAAGAAACAGCCGGTCGCGCATTTGTGTAGCACTGTTACATGCAGTTGCTGCCACCGGCTGAACTGGGCAAAGGTCCCTGGCCCATTGGAAAAAAAATTGCCGGTCCGCCACATCAGATAGTTTGAGAAGCACTGCTCTACAGGACAGAGGCAGGTTATGGACTGCCGTAGCCCTGAGCCTGCTGGAGGGAGTATCAACCCAGGGTGGCCTCAAGCTGTGCGTTTTCAAGGAAAATAAAACATATTTTACACAACACAAATGTACTACTGCTCAGTAAAGAATGTATACAAGGAACAAGCCATGTGTTGGCAGTGCTGGGCAGGAACACAAGCTAGCATTTACCTGCTCCAAACAGCTCACTTCAGTGCTCACTGAGCTGGAGAAAAGGCTGCTAAGCAAGACAAGCTGGTACCTGGATGGGCAATGACCCTAGACATTCTTGCTCTAGGTGGAAGGTGATGCCCGCACAGTGCAACGGCTGCTAGTATCATGCATTCTGGGGAGTGTCTGAGGACAGGCTGCCATGGGGACTGTAGTGAATCTTGGTCCTTTTGCCTTTCCTCCCCACCCATCTCCCAAGCTCCAGACTCTGAACTCAAGCATCTCCAGGCATTTACCTGCCCTGGCTGTTTTTTTCTTGCTTCCTATCATGGACAATCTTTCAACAGACATTTGGGAGGGGGCCCTCAAGGATACACCAGATGAGGTCACTGGTTAACCCTCAGACAAACAGCAATTATTAGACTGAATGGCTTCCCATACATCAAGGGGAAAGTGTCCTAAGATTGAACAACATGTGCTTGAAAACTTCAGTACAGGTAACCAGCAGCTCTGTAAGTGGTGAAAAGTTGGATTGGCTATAACTAGTTCTGTGAGCCAGCCTGAGCCAAGGAGGTGAGCCACTTGTAGTTGCAATCTCTGAGTCCAAGTAAAGCACACAGGGCATGTCCTGTACTGAGATTTTTTTGAACTCAAACAAAAAAACCTGCATTGTGGACTAGAGAAGCTGCAGCCATTTTGCTTGCAACACTGCTGCAAAAATCTGGTAGGCTGAATGCCTTTTACTGCACTGCCTGACAGGCAGTGTTTGCCTTCTTGATGTATAATCTGAATGCTAAGGTTGGTCTGCAGCATGAGTCTCATTCAGTTCTGAATGTTCTGTGCTATATTTGCAGTTTTCATTTTATTGGTATATTTTTGCTGACTGCAAACATTTTTATTTGGAGTGTGTCAAAAGCTTCTTCTAGTGGGTGTACTTGGGGATACTCTTTGGCTACATAAAAGTACTGTTAGTTTTCTATTTTATTATCAATGCCATCTCTTAAATAGATTGGGTATTTCAAGGATCTTTTGTTTCTTAACCACAAGTGGTTGGCCACCATTTTGAGACCTGTGTTGTTTGTGCATGTGTGAAATTTCTTATTTCTTCTAGTCTTCCAACTCCTCCTAGTTTTCAATTTTCTGTGGTGACACTTGGTGCAGATCCAGCCATGGCCCAGACATTTGAGGTCTGCAGAGAAGGAAGGACCACAACAGCTATTTGCATGTTGGTATTTTATTCCATTATTATCCAAGTACCTTTTAAAAGATAATTGTACAAGTCAGCACACAAGGATGCTCAGGAGATACCATCGGTGGGCATGCCACTGACGGCTGATGCTGTGCTTAAAAAATGTACATATTTACAGTGGAACCCTTTAGAAAAAAAGGGAAAATGGGAGGGAAAAACCCAAAAACCTGTGACTGTCATGTACATTAACAATCTCACCAGACACAGAATATGACCAGAATTTAAAAAGAGGAAGAAATGTTTGCAATGCAGTTCCCTGGATGAAAACAAATTCTGATTTGCTGGACTTCACATAGTGAGAGGCAAGTTACAAAATTATGTTCAAAGGCACTCTGTGACATTTACAATATACTGAGAGACAAACCTGCCTGTGAACAGGCCTGCCCACCAGATCACTACCTACTGTCCTCATGGTGACAGGCAGGCAGCTGGCACTCAAGCAGCACTGCAGCCAGCAGGTGCAGCAGCAGCAAAAACAAGAGTATTGGGAAAACATAACAGAAAAACAGCTGTGGACAAGATCAGTGCTGATGTGAAAGCCCTCATGTCCCAGCTTGTTGTGCAAATAAAGTGGCACAGAGAAGCCCACTGCTTTGCAGCCAGGGCATGGGCTGCTATCTAAAGAAGGGGGTCTGGTTTGGGTAACTTAATTGCCAACTACATACACTTCCTCTGGCACAGGGAAAATATTCAGTGTGGGTGATTAATGGACTTCAGCTCAGTACATCGTTAAGGGAAGGTATATGGAAAACTGTAGGAAGAAGGCAGGTGCAGTTTGAGACAGTAGACTCAGGACTGCATACTAAACTCTCCTCTTGACAGGGCTGTCTCACATATTTGGTATGTACCATATTTAAACCATCAGTCACTTTGGGTTATGAGCTCTCAGCATTCTTGCAACTTCGTAAATAGAGGGGGCCTGGAACCCTAAGAACCCAGGCAACTCTGCAGTCATTTTGCTGTTCGGGGAAATGCCCTTTCATGAGATTCCTGAACAGTTTCTACTGGTGCTAAACAGTCCTAAATGGATGCACCAAGGTAAATCAGACACAGAGAGAAATACAACCAAAGGCTGGAAGAGAGATTAGTGCCTTTGCTGCAGTATCTGCTGAATGTCCCCTCTCAGAGGAGTCAGGATTTAACAGAAAGGCAGCTATGCTATAAGAAGCAATCATCCTGCAGCAGCCACATGCTAAGATCTCTCTCCTTTCCATGCAACTATGGAGTGGAATGGAGTGTGGAATGGAGAGGAGATTTCTGTTCTAAATGTTACATTTTCAGGTGCTCTTTCTTAGTATTTTCTTGTACAGAGACTCATGGAACTAAATCAGGTCTCAGCATTTTGAGGTTCAACACTCCACCCCTGGGTATGACAAATTTTCACCATTTGCAGACTAACTGCACAGTAACTAACAGACTAACTAGTACTAAATGACTGTGCAGTAACCAGAGTTATTGAATAGTAGCACTGCTGAATGGCTTTCCTGTGATGCTGACTGCATAGTAGCCTGAGACTATTGTGCAGTAGCATCACATCATGCTTCCTGTCACACGATGCTACTGTGTAGTAGTCATGGGCTACTGTGCAGTCAGTGTCTCATGTAGACATGGCCAGTAAGATGCTAAATTTTGAGTTTTAAGCAACAAGCTTTTATCAAGGACTCTCATTTACTGCTAATTACATCTGAGAGTCCTACGGTGAAGTACACACTCAGAAATGGCTTCCAGCTGGGAGCAGGTTGCATGGAGAATCTCTGGAGTTATTGCCTCTAATGTGCAAAGAAATATGAGTGTGAAGTGGCACTTCACAAAGAATGCCTCCAGTACTATGCCTGCTGCTCCCATCTGGAATCCCACATAACCATTTCCAGGATATTCCCATGGCAGCTGGACTTTCAGACAGGCTCATGGGACCAAAAAGGCTCTAGTCACTGAACAAAAGTGGAATTCCCAGTGCTGAAACAGCTTGTCAATACTGGCTTTCAGTAACGAACAACTGCAGTAGATGATTTTATGAGAAGGTCACTGTAGTAAGAGCTCCTCAACCTGAATCCTCTCCTCTTGGGGCTACTTGCTCAAAGTTATGACCAAAGAGAGGAAAAAAAAAACACTCTTGTAGGTCTGTTAGCTTAAAATACCAGCATGGTTAAATGACGAAAACTATATTTGCTAATATGACATAAACAATCCTTCTCCCAGCCAGATTTTAAAGCCCTGTATAAGCCAGCTGGAGTAGGGTCTTCACATCAGCATCTGAAACAGCAGCTTGAGTGAATTTTCCAAAGGGCATTCTCAACTCCCCCAGCACACGGTAGCATCAGCTAAAAGTCACCCACATTCAGGATATTGGGGAATGGTAATGTGAAGGCAAAGATTCACACTGAGTTTGACACATGGCTGTACACTTTGGGTGAGCTCTGAAGTACCTGTATGTCTTACATTTACATAAGAGCACTGTGACATTGGAAATATTTTCCTTTTATTACAACATATCAAAAATATGCAGCTTTAGTAAACAAGGTCATATTACACTTTCTAATGTAACTGTACAATGCTAGATTACACTTAATATTCGGTAAGGAGAAGCAGCCCACACCAGGATTCCTCCTGGAAGGTATGTGTGGTGAAAGACCTCCCACTGGCAAAACGTAGCTTGCGTAAGTTCCTTGTGAGGAGCTGAGGTGCCTCCCTTCACCCTGGTGGTGCCCCTGCACCAGTGGAGCAGCATCCCAAGCATCTGCTTTGGACCATCTTCTTCATTCCCAAAGTCTCCCTCTTTCTTTCTTTTTTCCCTTGCATTACGGGAGCCTTGGAGGTTAATCAATCTTCTCAACTTTCCCAATGATCTTCTCCTCAAAGATGGGTAATATGGCATCATCCTCCCGCACCTCCTCGAAGACCACTCCACAGTCAAACTCATCACTCACTTTTTTAAAGTAATACCTACAAAACCAGGGAGAATCCAGATGACTGCCTGGCTGGAATTGACCATGATACAGATGCCTGCAGGGTCTCCTCTTCCTCAAGCCTGCAGCAGCACCATCCCCAACAGCTAGGTAACCTTCAGAAACCACACACTAAACCCAAACCCAGATCCTTGGTAATTAATGTCCACAGGAACACCACGATCAACAATAATCAACATCTATAGCATACCAACTGGCTCAAAGGTCCAGCTAAAACCCATCTCCAGTGTTCACAAACAACTTTTCACTGTAGTGGGGGAGAATGGAAATGCCTGGCAGCAATGACATGGCAATTCCCAAGACCAGGAATAGGGACCAAATCAGAACTTATCAATCCCAGTGCTACTCCATTCAGAAGTGGCCTAGGTGTGGCCTTGAGACAAAGTATATTCAGAGCAGTACCAGAATCAGAGGCTACTGATGAAGCAGGCCAACTGGTTCTATAACCCATCCCGAGTCCCACTGTTTGGGGATGTTCTCTTGGTTAGAAAGGATCTGGAGCCTCAAGGGGCCATAGGTCTCAGATTGCAACTGGTCTCCACATAAACTGTGCAGCTCTTGTACTCCTATGAAGCTGCTCATGTGGTTCATACCAGATGTTGGGAGACTTGACAGGGAGGAAAGGCGGGGGTGTGGCACTTTATGTCAAAAAACAATTCACATCCTCAACGAGGAGCACTGGGTCAGAGGAGGGGCAGACTGAAGTGCTCTGGGTCAGAATACAAGGGGGTCGGGGGGAAAGGGACTTAACAATGGAGGTCTACTACAGACCACCCAACCAGGGAGAAGAGCTAGACTGGGAATTCTCAGGTCAGCTCACAGAGGCAGTTAAGTCAAAGGATGGGGTTATCATGGGTGACCTAAACTATTCGGACATCTGCTGGGAAGAGCAGCCAGCCAGGTCTGACCGCTCACGTAGGTTCCTAGCCATGTTACAGGACCTCCATCTAACCCAGGGGGTGCACAGTCCCACCAGGGAAAATGCCTTGTTAGACCTGGTCCTGGCCACAAGCGACGACCTCGTGAGGGGACTGTGGGTGCTCGATCACCTGGGCAATAGCGATCATTGCCTATTGGAATTCACTATCCAGCACAGGGTGGCAAAGGCCTACAGCAAGACAGCAGCCCTGGACTTCAGGAGGGTGTATTTCATTGAGTTAAGGAGACTAGTCAGGGAGGCACTGAGGTCCTGGAGGGGAGGGGAGCTGGGAGTCCAAAAATAGCGGTCGTTCCTGAAGGAAACAATCCTCCAAGCCCAAAGGGTGGCAATCCCAACACGGGATCAAAGGGGGCAAGAGTGCTCAAAAGCCCCCATGGCTAACCAAAAGCATCCAGGAACATCTCAAAGCTAAAAAGGAGGCGTATACCCAATGGAAGGGAGGGGCCGTCACCAGGGAGGACTATACCTCCATTGCTCGGGATTGTAGTGGGGCTGTTAGGAAGGCCAAGCCAGAGATGGAACTGGGACTAGCAACCCGGATCAAGGATAACAAGAGATCCTTTTTTAAATACATAGTGGGTAGAAAGAAGGTTCCAGGTAACGTGGGGCCTCTCCAGGACACGCTAGGAAATCTGGTGGTCTCACCAGATGACAAAGCTAACCTATTTAACAATTTCTTTGCCTCCATTTTTCTGAGCAGGGACCAGGTCATCCCCCACACCAGGATCCCCAATGGTTCCAGGGGAGGCACAGCCAGGCCCAGGGTCAGAGAGGACCTAGTCAGGGAACTTCTGGTGGGACTGGATGTGTTTAAATCAGCAGGTCCTGACAATCTCCACCCCAGAGTGCTGAGGGAATTAGCAGAGGTCATTGTGGGACCCCAGCACAGCTTTACGAGCACTCGTGGTACTCTGGCGAGGTGCCAGAGGACTGGAAAAGGGCCAACGTGGTCCCCATTTTCAAAAAAGGGAGGAAGGAGGACCCAGGAAATTATAGGCCTGCTAGTCTTACCTCGGTCCTGGGGAAGCTCTTTTAAGAATTATCCAAGTGCACATCTGCGAGGGGCAACCAACATGGGTTCATTAGAGGCAGGTCCTGTCAGACCAACCTGGTGGCCTGACCATCTATGACCAGGTCACAAAATCCTTGCATGCAGGTGTTGCAGTGGACGTAGTTTTTCTGGACTTTAGGAAGGCCTTCGACACTGTCTCTCAACCCACTCTCATTAAAAAATTAGGAGATTGTGGTGTCAATGGCTGCACAGTAAGATGGGTTGCCAATTGGCTGGAGGGTCGCACCCAGAGAGTGGTGGTGGATGGGTCATTTTCAACCTGGAGGGATGTGAGCAGTGGGGTCCCCCAGGGCTCAGTCCTTT